CTTGTGCTGACTTGTGCTAGCCTAGAGCAACTCAGATATATAATTATATATTGTTTGGTTGACTTATACGAATATAAATCTTACTTTTCTTCTTTTCTGCCTAAAATCGTTTTTTTCATTTTATTACTTTCCTTATTATTTTTCGAAGATAATACTTTAGCACAATGTTAGCACAACTTAGCACAACCTAGCACAATAAAAAAAATTTCGAAAATCAAAAAGTGGGGGGCTACCAAAAAAACGGTTTTTTCCATTTTTCTCGCTCATTTTTCGTATTAAAAATTTATAATTCGAGCACAATGTAGCACAAACCTAGCACAAATCAGCACAACTGTCAAAATTAATAAATTCGAAAAGTGGGGGGCTAACTTCATACAGGCTTCGAAGGATCTCTATAAAAGTAAACGTCGAGCGGCGAACGTAAGAGACGGCTTTCGAAGATGCTATCATATGCCGTCAACGTGTATTTTCGGAGCAGACGTGAATAACCCGGTGACAAATGGATAAGCGCCAGGTGTCGGTGACCGAAACCGATATCTAGCCAAACACTCGTAATATATTCTGTAATAGGAGAACGCGCGGGAATAGAGAGAAAAGGAGAGATAGACGCCTCCCTCCTGTTTGCTTAGGAATGCAAACGATCTTCAGCGCGACTGATACTCCTCGCGACTGATATAACCACGACAATACGGCTGTAATTATGATCCTTTGTGAGCGCCGTGAGCTACATATATGTCGTACTCTGTAATTTGACGAGAGAATGTTTCGAGGCAATTTGCATAGAGCTAATCCTACGATACACGTGTGAAAGGTACGAGCATTCGTATACTTTATCTTTCATTTCTTTCTTCTCTCGAATCATGTTAATCTTCAAAACTGCACTTGCATATATTGGAAGAAAAGATATCTAAGAAATAAAAAATATTTATTCGGCGGTTGCTAATTTCGATATGGATACTAACAACACATCTACTTATATTAATATATTTTTCAAATAAGAAGATATATATATATATATATATATATATATATTTTTTTTTTTTTTTTCTTGAAATCCCAACTTTTTACGAAAACAATTGTATTTAAACAAAAGAATTTATATTCAAGAGTGAATATATTACCGAATAAATACTTTTTATTTTCTAGATATTTTTCTCAGTATAATACGTACGTATGCAATTAAACGATCTTTCCAAGCGACACGAGAGCGAATGGTGAGAGAAAGACATAACTTGCCGTTAACTGGTATCTATTAACTTTATTGTAACGAATTATTGAATTATTTCGGAGTAGTTTGTACGGAGAAAATTGCACAATGCGCGTAGAGAAAGTACAAAACCATTTAGTTTCATTTTTCGAATACCATCAATCTGCAAAAAGTGCACTTACACGTGATTGTACGTGTGTAACCGGTATCAAACGGTTCTTCCAAGCGAAGCAAGAGTTGGAGAGTGGGGACAGAGAGGGGTACAATTTGCCGTTAATTGGTATCTATTAACTTCATTGTAACGCAATGCATACATACGTGCACCGTGTCTGGCGGCGTGGCCGGTCTTTACGATTGCAGTCACCATTCAAGAGATCCCTTTCACGTACACACACACGAGTCACTTTGATCGAACCCGCATGTTAACCCCGTAAAGTCGTTAAAGATCTTTCACGTCGAACGCGACGTGCCAAGAGGAACGCTCGTTGACGACCATTCACGTCACGGAAACGTAGGGACAACCGCGCTCCTCGACGCGTGTATAATTACATCACAAGTATCGCGTGCTGTAGAGGCAATTGACCTGAAATCGAGTAAGCAATCGACAGTAAGTTTCGCATCAATTTCAGAGGATCGATCATACCTTTCGAAGATGATGCATGACGGCGTCGTGGCTTGTCGTCAAGTACGAAAGTACGAGTCAGCCAGTCGTCAGGATAATTTATTCGCTCGTTCGATCCGAGTGACGCGCCGGACAATTCCCCTCCGTCGTCGTTTAATAATTGAAGACGCTGGGAAGAAAGGGGACACGGAATGTTCCTCGACTGCACGCCTGGCTGCAAGCCAGCTAGAATGAAAAGTTTAATATTTAGACGCACCGAGCGAAAATACGACCTTACTCTCGAACACGAGCCCAAACCTATGGAAATCCTGGATCTTCGTCGTATTTTGTTATATTCATTATTTAAGAGTTTCGCACGCGCGGACACGAGTGTCTCTCATTGTAATCTATATATACAGGGTGTCTCAGATTCTCCTTTTCACATTAAGTGGGAATGTAGAACGGATTGAGGTGAAGATAAAGGTTCTATACCGTTCTGCGATATTTGCAATTATTGTCGAGATATTAATTAAAAAAGATTGGTGAATGATCACGCGCGATGGTAGACGAGCTGCAGTGGCGCCGTCTGCTGTTATATATTTATACATTAACCTTGTCCACAACCTTGCTTTAATCTTTAATCCGTAATAAACTGACCAACCAGTCGATTATTTTAAAAATAATCAACTGTGGTCAATTTCTTACGGCTTAAGAATTAAAGCAAGGTTGTGGACAAGGAATATGTTAAACTGAACAAAAGTCCTTTACCCTTTTGTAAATGACCACATCGATTTTTAGATATCAATTAAAGAAAATTTTGTGCATTATGGTACATAATCATATATATAACAATTTTCATTAATATCTAAAAATTTATGTCATTTGCAAAATAGTAAAGGACTTTTTTGTTCAGTTTGATTTAATGTATAAGTATACGACAGACGGCGCCACTGTAGCTCGTCTACCATATCGCGCGTGATCATTCACCAACCTTTTTTAATTAATATTTCGACTATTATTGCAAATATCGCAAAACGGTATAGGACCTTTATCTTCACCTCAACCTGTTCTACATTCCCACTTAATGTGAGGAGAGTCTGAGACACCCTGTATAAGATAGAATATCTATGTCTGTCTCTCCTCTATAAACTTCTAAACCTTTCGACCAATCTGGACCAAATTTTGCATAGTTACTACTAAAAGTTAGAAAATATAAGCTACCACAAAACCTGGACACCCCATTTGCTCCCCTAAACTTCATCCTCTTGATATTTTGTGATAATCCCAACGTCGCGTAATTTATCCTAGTTATTATCTAACGTCACAGTAATTGTTATAGATATTATATTATTGTGATAATACATATACAATTGCGTTGCGTTGCGGAATATTCGATATCACGCGAGGACAAAAACGCAAAACATGTCGAATAGACAATCTCGTATACACACACAGAGAAAATATTGCAGTAAAAATTACGAAATTATGTTTCTTTTTACAATGTTTATAGTCAAATTAAACTATATTGAAAAATGTGGGTATAATGAACACACCAAAGCGTTTTTATCGGAGAAAATGGAATTAGAATAAGATTTGAGTAATTGGAAACAGAAATTTTTATTTCAAACTAAAACGTATTAGTTTGTTCATTAAAACCAAATTTCATGTTAATATAGCTAAATTTTATCTCTGTATATAAATCACTATAACATTTGGCGATCTATAGAATATATATAAAACGTCCAAGTAATTAAGATAATTTTACAGTAAAGTAAAAAGTAAAAGTCAAATGTGTACATAATATTTTTAAACAAATATGTAATAATTTCGATCACAATATGGACTGTATGATTCAAGGTTAGGAAAATTTTGTTGCAATTTTTATTACAATATTTCCTCCCGTGTATTTTTATAGACAAAAATCAAATCAAGTAATAGTGCAATTAACTTTTCTCTTCCGCTTCTTTCCTTTCCTTTCCCATGTCGGATTTAGTCGCAGGATACACCGTATGTGAGGTCCTCCGAAGGGACAGTGAAGTTTTGACACATCGTACGTGCTCTCATCTGGACTCATGAAAGCGGATCCTCTCCTTGCCCTTTCCACTCCACACCGCTACGCTCCTCTCATTCTGATATAACACAGGACACGCGTCTGTTTCGTGTCGGCGGGAAAGCGGAGAAAAGATCCTCGACAAACATGTCGCTTCTCGTCGGACTATAGTTTCCACTTACTGAAGTCGGCAAATATCTGGAAAAGATATAAAAATCCTTATAATTAAAACGGCTAAAAGGAAAATCTAGAGTCAACATTAGTATTTTGGCAACGATTGCTAAACTCTTGCATCAAGATTTTTTACTACGATAAGATCGTTTAAAAAGCATTTATGAAATATATCAACTAAACCGTTACCGAAGATTGGCGTTGGGGAATTTGTCTTGAAGATACCTGAAGCTATACATTGAAAGAGAAAAAAAGAGAATATAATATCCACGCATGTGCTTTCTCCATGCACATGTATATATATAATGACGAAGCTGATATCCGCTTTTTTTCTCTCTGTTGCAGAGATGTCCTGCTGCTCGCAGGCCGCCGGATCCTGTCGGAACGTGTGCTCCAAGGTATGCATTCGAAATAAGTGCACTCTCGCATTCGCGCTTGGGGAAATTGTGACGTGCGAGCGCGCGCGTTCCGTGAATAAGCGCAATTAGGACGGTTCGTTGCGCCCATAAACGTTCGTCGAACCTATGCTCGCGCTCATGCTTGTATAAAGTACACAAAGTTGATGAGAACTGGTGTATCTTTACACTCGTTATATTCTCGCGCTCGTTTTTTAATTATTACGTAAAGCACCGGTCATTCCTTTCGTATTAATTTTGCGAAGCGACATTTTCCTCGGACATGGCTCTCGGTGTCCAACGGAGACACGAAGTACACCTGTAACAACAGGCGATTCGTGAAATCCGAGATCACCCGTAAATCCAGAATTAATACGGGAGACAGTGTCGAGCGAGAGGCAGAGAGGCGCACAAAGAGGTCCCTTCTCACCGTGATAAGAAATTAGTCGTCGGACTGTGCGGCCACGAAATACAATTTATTAATTATACGTCGGGAGAAGCGCCTCGTGGGAATTTCAAAAAGACAATCTCGGCGCAATTCCACCGGGAGGGAACGAATGCGATATCGCGCCGTTGATAAATATCCGTGGGCCGACCCCGGGACGATAAAGGACACGAAATATGTCGTGTCCACGGATATATTAGGATTCGAGAAATAAAGGAGAAATGGCAACGAGAGAAAAGGAGAAAGGGATAGGGGAAAAAGAACGATAATATGGGTACCTCGTTGCTGCCTTCGATGAGGGTTTCTCGACGTGGGGCGCGTCTCACTGCAGCTTCTTTAAATGTGACTGCGGGGGCCTCCTCTTCCAAGATAATATCGGGGACACCGGGGGCCCGCTGCGAGATTTACGCGGGGCCCCTCCGGGGCGCCCCGCGGGCTCATTCATACGCAAATATTACGAATTGACGCGTTGAACACGGTGGACGTAGCGCGTATTATCAATGATATCGTGTCTCCGTGCGGTTCATCCTGGAGGAGGAAGATACGCGCTATGGACGCGAATGCGTCCTCCTTACTGATTCCTGATTGCGAGGTGACATATGAGGATTTCGCTTGCGAGAGATTGAATGAAGTGCGGAGAATATTCGCGAGGCTGCACGCGAATTTACTTGTGTGTTTTAAACGCATCCACATCTGAAAAATATACAATCTTATCTTTAGCGGAATCTTATATATGGCTTAAGAGGGAACCCTTAAGAGGATTTTTCTAAACACACTTTCCCTTAAGAGGAAAATATTCTAAACACAATGCTCTTAAAGTTAGAGGAATTTTGTCTTTCATCTGTAGTATGAGTTTTTTTGTTCTTAACAGAAATTTTTTTAGCATTCTCTACGCTTCAAGTAAATATATTCTTCTTGACTCTTGACAGGAGTCAAAGAGAGGAAAAAAGTGAAAAAAGTTAGAATAATATATAGTAGTAAGTAATAAGTCCGACTGAATTAAAAGAGGAATATTCTGTAAGAGATTTTGTTTAAAATATAGAAACAGTATCTTGTACAACTAGAATTTTTTTCTAGAAGATATTAAAATATTTTTTTGGGTGTTAAAGTATTTTTTTAGGTGGATTTCTGCTAAGGATGAGATTATATCTTTTCGGGTGTGCAAAAGTGTGGGAATCACGAGAAAATTTCGCACGAAGAATTCCGTCGATACGCTCGTTCAAGGTACGTGTCTCCGGCGCTTTCACACCTGCCCCCGCCTGTTTGCGATGTTATTGGCCATTTGGGATGTGAGGCACGGTAAAGCAAGATGCAGAAAAAATCCTAAGCAAGAAAGAGAGAGCCGTCTCTCTCGGGATCGTCTTGCTTGACTACTGATGAGCGCTTCCTTCTTCGCTGTGCGACGGCGAAATAACCGGAAATTGTGACGGAAGCTCCGAGTTATGTGACGGGTTATTCCTGAGGTGGACAGGAAAGACGTCTTTTCGTCGGAGACGCGCGGCTTTTTCGTTTCTTTTTGGAGTAGAAATATTCCCGTCGCTCGCCAACATTATAAAATGAGCTCTTGATGAGCTTGTTTTCTCTGCTCGTCGCATCTCGTTACACTTCTGTGTTTTCTCGCCGTTGTTTCGTCTCTCGACGAACGACTAACTATAACAACACAAAAATGCGCCGTTACACGGTTTTCTGCAAAAGAAAGAGAGAAAGAGCTGAATGCGCATAACGATTCATTGCATCGGTCACAGAGCGCTACTGGGACTGACTGCCGATTTAATTAGTCGGTCGACACCGGAGTCGTTTGTGGCATCGTGAAGTTCGGCAAATGGGAGCACGAGGCAAATTATGAAAGCTCGCGGCTCTATTTTGGTATCTTTTGATCTCGCCTCTGCCTCGGAGGCCGTCGAGCTTGATTTATCCGGTTTAAAACGTATGAGCTTTGAAGCAACGTTTATTTCGGATTTTTGCAATTGTATCACACGCGCGCTGGTTAAATTAAAAATAAAGGAACGCGGCAAAAACTCCCTTGTCGCGTCACGTAGCTTTGTTTAATTGCGCTTCGTTGTCGAGAAAAAAAGAGAGAAAATATACAGCGGACCTCGCTGTATGGGCTTACACAAATGGGCGGCAAGTAGAAACATATCGTCTCGCACCGCGGAATTATTGCTGACGTTGATAAAACCGTCGCGAGAAATTTCGCGAGTGGAAAACGCACCCCCTTCGATACGTGGCGACGAGACCCGGCTGCGCATACCTCCCAGAATATACCGCGACGGAAATACGTACGTCGTTTTCTCAGCTCCCCGTCACTTTCGTCTCTAACATTTATAACAGTCTAATCCAACAGAAAATATTCCGAGGCTATCGATTGAGATTACTTAGATTATTGCACGAGTAAAATCGATTCTGTTACATCAAAAAAAAAAAACAATTGCAAGCTGTTTTGTTTCCTATAATTCCATATTCTAAGAGTGAAGAGTTTTATCGAAAGAATCTCTCTTTTTTAACGAAGTGGACTATTAATCGGAAATTTACTAGATGTTATTTTAATTTTTCCCTTTTTGTATCAAGAAAGAGAATGTTTAATTGAAGTAGAATATCTTTTTGCTAGAGAAGTTTTTCATAAACAAGACTCCACTGTAGATAAAAGACGACAATTCCCTAACTTTAAGAATATTATACTTAGAATATTTCTCTTTTAGTTTTTTAGAAAAATCCTCTCCTGAAGTCATATATAAGAGTACAATCCTCTACACTGAGAGAAAAATATAGTTGGAATAACTATAATCTCACTATATTTTATAGTTCGTTTTGTCCTCAAACATATATTTATAGTTCATCTAAACATGAAGATATAGTAGAATGAACACAGATTTATAGTCACCATCTTATTATCTCTATATATATGGTAAAGCACCTTTTGGGAATATAGTTACATGTACCTATATTTGCCAAATATTCCAATTGTATTGACTATATAAAATAGTTAATTTCTCTTACCATTCAATATTTGCCACCTTACTATATTTTTTATTTCAAATAATTATAATTCTTGGTAAAAATTTTCCACGAATCAGTTGTACTATGCTTACATTGTAAATATTACAAATATTATGGTAACATTTATTATAAAAATTATATTTCTAACTATAATTTTTTTACTATGCCATTATAGTTCCAAATATCATACATTTTTCTCTCAGTGTAAAATTCTGAGGATTTCATTAAAGACAAGATTATATCTGTCTAGACGTACTCTGGATGGCAAAAATTTTAACGAATATATCAGTCGAAGTAAAAATGATATGTACACATAATTATGACTTATGTCTTCCACATAATTATGTATCTTCCCCCTTTTATACAACCGCGGATATTGCTATTTCGATGAAATTGCAACATAGTTACAGCGATATCGCGCGTTTATCGCTTCGTTGCGATAGCTATAAATTAAATTCAAAACTTACCATCTATTTGAGAAACATGAACAGGTCGGTCGATAATTTATATCCGTTGTCGAATGCGACCTTTGACTGGGCCTATCGCCAAGGCCCGTCAAGACCCACCATGTTGATGGATGGCCCGTAACTCGTGATCGTGATGGACATACAGGATGGATCCGGCGTGTCCTCGCCGAGGACACCGATTGAATTCAGAATGAGGACGAGACGCGCGAACATACGGCCGATATCTGGCCGAGAGGACGATTGTCATTCAGTGACGAGCAACAGGAAATCGCGGGGACCGCGCTGCATTCGTGTCCTTGATTCTTAATGACCGCTAATGCGCCATTCTGCATTTCGAATTTCGAGGGTCTCCAGCGGGGTGGATGTTTGGCCGGTTGACGCCCCGCGGGATCTGTTGAAATCACTTACGTGATTGCGTTGTGACTTCAGATCTTCGTAATGAAATCCGTCGAGATGGCTTTTACTCGTGGGTTTCTTTTTCTTCAGTCGCGTCACGATTTTAATCTTGCTTCTCTCAGAAGGAAATTTTGTCGTATGTTTAGATATCCTTGGTAGTGCTGGGTGCGCAGATTGAAGCACGGGAGAACGCCACCCAACGTCTGCTGGAGTTCTGCTCGATGGAACTGGTGAGTCGTCGCGTGAATCTTCAGACGTAGTGCTGCGCGATCGACACCCGTTCTTTCCATTCATTCAATTTGAGTTTTGAATCGGAAACCTGCTGACAATGAGCGCTTTAAACGATTCGGGGCGTCTGCAATGTGATCCGAACTTTTTCTTTTTCAATACAGTGGTAGCTTCACGAAAAATGATCTTGGGACTTGCGGTCGCGATCGACCACGACACTTTCCTTTAACATTTTCCTTTTCCCTTTTTTTTGGTCACGACTATCTTCACTCACGTATAATGTTTGAATCTTCTTTCAGGTGGACTTCTGGAGCTGCGTGAATTCGACGTTGAATGGTAAGGCTCCCTTCGTCGTAGTGTTCTGAGCGCAACGGTGTTGCCCATGAATACCAAGATCATTTGTATTCTTATAGATCTGAAGAGACACGAGAATTGGTTGGGTCGTGGATGTTGCCATCTCGCGCAGAATCCCACGTGTCGCACGACCTGTGCCCTGTCGGGCTCCAAAAATGATTTGGAAGAGTACTGTCGGCCGAGCGATGAACCCGAGTTCTTCTTCTGCTTGGAGAGACGCGAGGAGGCCGAGCGATGTTGCAGCAATGTCTCAAACACCTGCAGGCCCATTTGCAAGGATCTATTTTACAAGAGCGGCAAGCAATCCAGTTTGAAGTTGTACAGCAGCATGGGTTGCTTCCATCAGGTTCCCAAGTGCCTGAAGAGCGTGGCTGAGGTGAAGCACGCCGAGGATCCCAAGCAACGTTAGTTTAATATTCCAACGTTTTGGAAAAATTCTACAGGAAACAAACGCAAATACGAGCGTGTGGAAATAGTTTATATTCAGGAAGATAATAAAAAATTTTTGCCAACGTTGCACATGTAAATCTTTTTAATAAAATGTCATTGAGAGAGCTCTAAGAAAATACAATATTACGTGTTCTTTAATAATTTTCTCTTTTTTTTATATTGGTAATTTTTGCTTTTTCTGTTATTTGTTTTTTTCTGTATTACTTCTTCTTTTTTTTCTAAATTTTTTGTGACAAAACAAAAGTCTTTCTGTTAAATAAATATAATAATATAATGACAATATTTTTTAGTCGATCTTATTATATATAATATTACATGTATCAATCGATCGATACACGTATGTCGTCGAGTTTAACAAATTCTATTTCGTGCAGATCTGCACTGTTGCGACGAGGCGACTACACCAGCGTGCCTGGACACGTGTCGCAAAATCCTGCACACCGCGACCACCACCCAGGAGATCATGGATGCGCTGACGGAAAACTGCAGTCCTGTATTTCCGCAGTTGCCCCTGTGGAGCTGCCTAATGAAGTCCGACTCATCGAAGCCCGTGCGTTTACCGTTAGACGCCGGCAAACTGGCGTGCTGTACGAACGCGGTGAGTCCCACTTGCCAGAATTTATGTTGGCGAGCCTTCCAAGCCGACTGGGAGTCCGCCTGGCCACAGTTGGACGCTGCATGCCTCTCATCCAGCTTGGAAGGCGAACTCAGGAGGTGTCTTGAGGACGCGGATGATCCTTGTGAGATGGACTGTTCCGGCCTGTCGTATTGCGCGCGGTTCAACAACAGACCCACTACACTCTTCAGGTACGATGATCCGACTAATAAGATTTGGTTGCAATAGTTCGAATTAAACGCGTTCTCTATTTTATCAGATTTTGTCTGATCAAAATGGACTGCAATATTCGTGCGACTTGAGAACGGATTTTCGTTCATTCGTCGTGATATCAATAATAAGATATTATTTTCTCTTTAGAACATGCACGGCTGCAGCAGACGAGGCCGCTAAGTGGGAGGCTGACCATTGGTCTCGAGGTAGCATCATTCGCGGATTGGGTGTGCCTGTGCGCGCCGCCGCTTCTTGTCCAGCGGAGACTCTCCGCGCCGCCGCTTGTCTTCTGCAGCTACGACCTTGCGAAAGCAGGGTTCACGAGACGCGACTTTGTCGTGAAGACTGCCTGGAGTTGATGGCCAGCTGCGTGGACTGGAGCGCGATCGATGGACCCCACACCGCGGCTACTCTGTGCGCTAAATTGTCGCCAGCTAGACCAGATGCACCATGCGTTTCATTGGGACCATTCCTGAAGGATCCGCAGGACATCGATGGCGGTGATAACGGCAACGACGACGAATCCGTTATTCTTCCCGAGGAGGATATCACGACACCTTGCAAGCCAAATCCGTGCCCACAAGGGCAGCTCTGCGTGCTCCAGCCGAACGGCGTTAAGGTCTACCGCTGTCTGCCGGCTTGCTCGCTGGGAGAGATGTCGAAGCAGCTAGTGCCGGTTGGCTCTTGGATTCAAATCCCACGAATCGATCAGCACGGCTGCCTGAATATCTGCCAATGTACGACACATGGTTTGGACAAGTGTCGTGTCCTCAACTGCTTCATCTTCAAGTCCTGCTGGGTACACGACCGGTTCGTCGCTCACAAGGCCAACTTTTACCTTGAATGCAACCCTTGCCACTGCTTCGAAGGCGAGTTCACGTGCTCCAAGAAGAGCTGCGGCGAGCCGCGTGCGCCGTCTCTACCCTGCGACTGTTCGGCTCACTATGTTCCCGTCTGCAGCAGACTAGGTTTGACCTTTGCGTCCGCTTGTTTAGCGAAGTGTGCCGAAGTGTCGACAACGGAGATAGAGTTTGGCAGCTGTTCCAGCAGAGATCCCTGCGCTTCCAATCCCTGTGGCAGTGCGGAAAAGTGCGTCCGCAGACCTCGAGTCTGTTTGTCGCGTCTGCACAAACCCTGCCGGCAGTACGAGTGCGTGCCGATGGATTGTAATCCGCGGGACGAGTCCAGTGGGCCCGTCTGTGATCGGGAGAATCGCCAGTATCCTTCCGTCTGCGCGATGATCCGAGCTGGAGCGAGTCTGAGCTACAGAGGACCCTGCTTGAGAGGCTGCAGTCTTCGGGGTCCGGTGTGCGGCATTAACGGCGAAATTTACGCCAACGAGTGCGCCGCATGGGCCGATAGAATCGTCGTGGATTATCAAGGTCCCTGCGTCGCCGTCGGCCTCATCGGAGACGCGGTGAAGCCTCGTTGCGGCGACGCTGTTCAGTGTCCCCCGTTGGCGGATCCGTACTGCATCGGAGTCACTCCTCCTGGTGCTTGTTGTCCCGTTTGCGGAGGTGCCGCCAAATTATTTTACTCCAAAAAGCAGGTGGGTGTTTTTACGAAGGCCCAAGAGACGTCTTTTAAGCACCAAGAATTATTTTAGAAGAAATTCCATATTTCTAATTACGCTGAAAGTGGATTTTCATTATATTGTATTGTAATAATTTGTTCTCAAATTTCTGCGATACTTGGAGAGCTAAGGAGTAACATTCGTTATAAAGGAACTCATTGAAAAAATGTCTGAAAAATTGAGACGTTTCTTAGATATCTTTTCGTAACGTCTTCCTTTACGCATTAGTGCGTATGTGTTATTTAAGAGAACAATTACAAATAATTTCTGAATAATTACATATTCTCTTCTTGAATCCTAGTTGGAGCGAATCTACTATTTGATGGACGAAGAAGCTGATAAATATTCCGTCACGTTGGAAGTTCTTCTGGCCGCTCTGGGTCGTCAGCTGCACGTGGCGCAGTGCGCTGTTCGCGGCATGCTGACACCCGATCTTGACGTCTTCATCATCGTGCAGCCGGTCATGAAGAAACCGTCGGCGTTGCAGCTGCGAGCCTGTGTGACGGAAACGGAAAAGCTGGTCACTAGGATCTCGGAAAGGAGTTCCAGGATAGTGGCAGAGATCTCACTGGGCTCGCTGACCCGCGCCGAAGTAGCTCACAGTTACGTTTCAAGTGCCATGACAATTCGAGTTTGGCTCGCGACTGTCGTCGTTACGAGCGTTATCGTCGTGTTGAACATTTTGTCGTAAGCGTAATTACGTCGACAAGAGAATGAGATATGTCGCTTATATCGTACCGTACCAATGCTGTCTCGAGGTTAGAGTATGCGCGTTTTTTTTTCTTAATTGGTCGCATAAAGCACATACGTGCGCATTTATCATCATAGTATATCTCGGTTCGAGTCAAGAATCCGCAGTCGTAAGTGACGTATCTTACTTTCTCTCGTTCTTCCTCGACGTTAACAGCGTCTCTACCTAATCGCGATGCCATTCGTGACGGCGAATGGTCTACAGCGTGTCTCGTGTCTGTGATTCTTCTAGTGCCTCCGTAATATATAGCAGTATGATATATATTTTTAATTGTCGATTAATATTGCCAAAGAGAGAAGAGTATATAACATGACAGGTGTACAAAGATGTAGGATTTACCGCGAGTGCATATCGTCCGTCGCAAATATGTCGAGAACACATGCTCATTGTAAGTTGTAAATAAACAAGACATCGTAAACTTAAGTTACCAGTTCGCAGATATCGTGACATATTATCGTATGTCGCAGATATGACTTTTACACAGAGCGCATCCTTCAGAGAAACCGAAAATGAAGTATTTTAAATTTTCTAAGAGTTTGGCTGTTAATTTTAGCTATACGACAGTAGAAATCAATACAGAATTCTATTAAAAAAAAAAAAAAAAGAAAGCAAAGAGCAACTTGCGCAAATACGGTTTCTCTGGGACACGCTGTGTATATACACAGGTTTTACACAGCTGATCGTTCCAAATTTTTATCTTATGGCTCCTGACCCCCGCATTGCCTCTTTTTTATGACGTCAGAAGCGAGAAAACGCATGTTAAAAATTCCTGCAAAATACGTCGAGATAAACAGACATATCCACAAAACGACATTTGCGATCGATTAAGTACATCTCTAAAATACTCCATACACTTTCCTTTTGTTCTAAAAATCAATAGATAATCGGAAAATTAATATGACAAGATAATGAGGAAATTAGGTTAGAAAAGACGATTGCACGTCATATTTATTTTATAATTATCTGTTGGTTGTTAGAACAAAAGGAAAGTGTACGGAGTATTTTAGAGGTGTACTTAATCGATCGCAAATGTCGTTTTGTGGATATATCTGTTTATTTCGACGTATTTTGCAGGAATTTTTAGTATGCGTTTTCTCGCTTCTGACGTCATTAAAAAGAGATGGATGATGCGACTCCCCAGGAGCCTTAAAAAGAAATAGACAATGCGAGGGGCCAGGAGCCTTATGCCGCGAATAAATAAGTTAATTTGTGGTACTCGTCGAGGTGCTCATTAAGGTAAGGATTAAGGGAACGACGGTCCTCGCACTTTTATTATTTATAAACCTGCGAAAATTTGGATCGCCTGCAGTGGTTCGTGCCAATGATACAGATAATGCTCCCATAAGTGTTAAGTATACTTTGTTATTGTGCTGTTTAATATAAACTCTTGGTATCGTTAGTTATATATAATAAATTTTTGCAATTTCTTATCATACATATTTCGAGTGACACCACTGTCCTCTCAATGAGTAATTTCATAAGTAATTAAACAGAAAGAAAAAAAAAGAATTGAACTTAAGATGCAAACCTTATAAAAGTGCTTTATAAGACTTTATATCGACCACGTGACGCAGTGTGAGCGCCGGACGCCTGCAGCTTGATAAGTTCCTCTTTGATGAGCCGCGAGACCTCCGCTTTGGCTTTGCTGACCGCCAATTCACTTGTCGATTCTATAGCTAGGTATAGTTTCCTCTCGCCTTCCGGTGGTGCTTTTCCAGGCGCGATGTATGTTCCTCTGACCGTCAAACCCGCTTCGGAATATTCCGAAATTTGGGCCAACGCTTCTTTGCTCGTGACTCGCCATCTTGCTTGTTGCGGGAAATCATTTATCTCGAGCTCCTCCTCATACTTACGGAATGTTTGCTCGCCCGTTTCCGCGTCGCTCTCTACGAGATCCTCTTCGCGCGGCTGATAATTCAATTTAGTGTTCAACTTCGCTGCCAATTGTTCTGCGACGGTCTTTGCCTGTAGAAGAAAAATTATCGTTTGTTATAAAAAGAATTTTAAAAAACCAAATTCTTTATAAATATACAAAAATCCTTTTCTTTTTTTCCCTAAGGATAGCAATTATTACAAAACTATTTCTTTCTCTCAGATAAAAATTCAATAGAACGTACCGTAATAAGATTCGTAGGTCCTGCGCCCTTAAGTATGGCCTCTGCCGCTTGTTGGGTGGCACCTTTCGCCTCGGCGCCTAAATTCTTGGCGATGTTTATCTTGGACGCCAATCTTCTAGCTAATTCGAGTTTATCAGTGGCGCTGGGTATCGGCTGACCTGGTACCGTAATATTGGTCGCAGACGGTCTCGCTATTTCACGAACTGTACGCTTAGGCGCCAGCATACTCTCGATCTGTTGATCGATGTCATTTTCTATGTCCTCGTCGTCGGAATCCTGCAGTCCTAGAGCTGCTTTCTGGAATTTTTTCTTCTCATTCGCCAGAGCGGCTTCCGACTCATCGAATTTGAATCCTTTGCCGCTAAAACCGCCACCAGTGTGCACTTTCTTGCCGTCCGCAGCTTGTCGTGCTTTGTAATTCTCCCATAGCTGACGCAACGGTTCTGGAACGAGTACACCCGCTAATTCGTGTGCACGTAGGATATCACCGGCATAGCGTTCCTGCTCTGATGTGATAAAAGTGTACGCGTATCTGGAAGAAAGAAAAGGAAATAGTTACATTAGAATCAACGGCGACGATGACAGATGTTTCTTTATTATTAAGACACAAAAGATGACCTTACCCTTTGTTTCCGGCTCTACCGGTTCTACCACATCTGTGCACGTAATCCTCGTAATGATTAGGACAATCGTAATTGACTACCAGTACCAAGTGCTTAACATCTAGGCCTCTAGCGGCGACAGATGTGGCTACCAACAACTTTGTCCGTCCGGCTTTGAAATCCAATATAGTAGAGTCTCTGTCGCACTGGTCGATACCACCGTGAAGAGACATACAGGAATATGAAGCTTTCATAAGGTCCTTCAACAACGTGTCCGCGTTTTCTTGTTTGTCTACGAATATAATGGTCGAGCCTTTGTCTTGGTAGTGACCGAGAATTTCTAGTAACTTGTAGAACTTCTGGTCCTCCTCGAGTACGACTACGTGTTGTTCGACATCTTTGCAGACAACGGAACGTCCTCCGACTTGCACCTCCACTGGTCTGGTAAGTATTCTTCTGGCCAGTGCCTCCATTTGTCGTGGAAACGTCGCACTGAACAGTACCGTCTGCCGATCCGGTCTTACGTTCTCCATAATACGCATTACCTGAGGTTCGAAGCCCATGTCGAACATTCTGTCAGCTTCGTCTAGCACTACGTATGTCACTCGACGCAGATTGGTCACACGACCACTGTTTGCGGCGAGCATATCGATCATTCTACCCGGGGTGCATACTATGATCTCGGCACCTCTCTTCAACTCTGCTATTTGTTCGGAGATACCGGTTCCACCGTAAACACACACGTGCGACAGACCCAACGATTTGGTGAATTTTTTCGAATCCCTGCCAATTTGCATACACAATTCCCTAGTAGGCGTCATGATTAACGCGATCGGCCCGTCGCCGTCAGCCAGTGGTGGCTGGTCCAGTATATGTCGAAACATTGGTAATAAGAAAGCCAATGTTTTTCCACTACCTGTTTTTGCTATACCGATGAGATCGCGGCCGGACATAATTGCCGGGATCGCTTGGCATTGAATGGGCGTAGGTTTCTCGTAACCCAATTTCTTTAACACTTCTAGTTCCTTCTTGGTTACGCCGCATTGCGCCCATGATTTGATAGGCTTTGGACAACCTTTGCCTTTTACGCGAATGCCTTCTAACTCCTCTTTGTATGCCTCTACTTCCTCTGGCGTCATTCTTGCTGCAGAAATATATAAAATTGCAGATACTTATTCATGTCATGAAAAATATGTTATTATATTGGAAAAATATACAAAGATATACCAATTTCAGGAACTTCAACGTAGAAGGACTTTCGGAACGGTTGATAATCCGTGGTTGCGTGATCGACTTTGGCTAACTCTCGTTTCTGTTTGTTTGCTATACCCGCTGCAGTCTCATGAAGATTTTCGCCCTCTTCTTCGCTGGAATACTCCAAACCATCTTGATTTTGCTCGATCAGTTCTCCCTTTTGTTTCTGAACTTTCTTTTTGGCTACACCAGTCACTATAACGACACCGCCACTCTGTGTTCCAGAACTCGTACCATTGTTGGCATTTTTTGGGGCTTTGTTATCTAGTTTGTTCACTTTCCTCACCTCTTCTTGCACCTGTTGGGTTAATTATATGTAATGTGAATATGAAGAGGATTAATCTAAATATTAATTACAAGATTACTTGCCTCTGCCATGAAAGCATCCAGCGGATCAACTTCTTCCTCTTCATCTTTCACTTCCTCCTTTACTTCTTCAATTTCCTCTTTTACACCTTCTTCCTTTGCCTCTTTTGTGTTATTCTGTACCACAGGAGTCTCTTCATCACTATCATCCTCAAGGGACCACTTTTTCATGGGTAGCTGAAGATTTGCCAAAATAGATGCCTTACCGTCTTTTTTGGTCGCTTCCAGCTCTTTCTTCTTCCGCTCTGCTCGCCATCTTTCTATTCTCTCCCTCCTCTTTTGCATTTCCAATTCAAGCCTCTTTTGCTCTTCCTCCTGCAATGATAATTAACATGAACACCACTCATCTTTTCTCATAGGAACTCTTGCTAAAAACTTACCTTGTCCAATTTTGTGTGATCAAATGGTAATTCTTCATTGTCACCTTTTTCTTTATCCTTTCTATCACGTGACCGAGATCTGTTAGATCGTTCTTTGCCAGAGCGCGAAGACTTTGAGCCTGTAAGACGCTTTTCTTTACTGTCTCCACTAGTACACCGAGAACAATCAATATCAATATTATTTCATCATTATAATTATTAGCAACATTTTCAATGCATGCATTCAGTTCAATAATTGGTCATTGAGCACTTAGTAAATTCTTGATTTCAATTAGTATATTCTTTTAGATTTAAAAAATATACTAATCACATACATATTAAGTGTTCACTAAGCTGTTGCAGTACTGAATGTACACAATATGTGACCAGAGATGAAAGTGTGAGGAATATGAACTACATGAGCAATTGTTTTCGAAGAACTACCTGAACTGGCATACACTAGCGTAATAAGTTAGATGGTCTGTTCTTTTTAGCTGCACTGCTGAACTAATACAATAAGTTAAAGTGAAACAAATATACTTTCTCTCACTTTAACTTATTACACTAGTTCAGCAATGTGGCTAAAAAGAACAGCAAATATGAAACAAAATATACTTGTTTTATTCTTACTTACATCAATGTATACCAGTTCAGTAGCTTTTTGAAAGATAAATTTAGAATAAGATACTGAAGATTTTTTTCAAGGATGTTACCGTTTTCTCTCGCGATCCCTGTCACGTTCAGAACGATCTCTCCTGTCTCTGTCTCTGTCACGCGAACGACTTCTGCGTTCTCTATGTCGACCCTTATCTCTGTCTCTCTCACGGTCTCTGCTCCTAGATCGACGTCGCTTCTTTTCAGGTTCGGCCGACCGAGATCTCGATCGCGATTTGGATCTTCGTCGATGATGTCTGTCCCTATGCAAATTGTTATACATGGCAATTAAGTGGAACATCGATTCAAAGTGCCTACGAAATGTTAGTTTCACAACCTAACCTCAATATACAGAATGCAATAAATTTTACTCACTTGTCGCTACGAACCATACTTGATATGATACTGCAAATAATTAAATACTTTAAAGCTTTAGTACATCAATAAAGCGCACAAGCACAATTATTCACACTGTAGAGTGCCGCTTTAGCTTCTCGCCTTCTTGTTTTCTTTTTAGCCTGCACAGAGCGGAGCACCCTCTATCCCGCACTACTTAGGTCTGTTCTTTTTAGCTGAACTGTCTGAACTGATGCATAAAGGCTGGTTTATGATGGACGTAATCTATTAACTTTACCGGAATCGTAAAAAATTGACCAATTATAATTGAATTATAGAAGAATAATCGACTGTGATTAGTCAATTTTTTACGGTTCCGGCATAAGTTAACGGTTACGGCCATCATAAATCAACCTTTAGCTTTATATTGTAATTTCATCTAGTGTTTTGCATTATTTAACTTATGGCTTCTGCCCACAGGACGCGGCAACACTTGCCGCGCGGCGGAAGTTCGCGCAACAGCCAATCAATATGTTGTTTTTCCATGAGAACTACAAGGTTATTATGGAAAGCAGCATATTGATTGGCTGTCGCACGAACTTCCGCCGCACGGCAAGCGTTACGGCGTTCTGTGTGCAGAAGCCATTATAGGTTCATCTTAATATGCATTTTATATATATATATATATCCAGGGTTGGAAAGTTACTTTTTAAAAGTAACTAGTTACAGTTACAATTCGCCTTGCTGGAAATGTAACTAGTTACAGTTACAAGTTACTGGCTACAAAAAGTAACTCGTTACAGTTGCAGTTACTAAAAAAGTAACGAACTTTTAAGTTACTTTCTTGAAATAATTGTAAATTATTATTGTAAATACAAAAATCTTACATATTAAGCTTTACTAAAATGTAAAAATTGAATTTTATAATTAATATCTATCACATTAATTAGTTTATCCACTTAACAAATTTCAAATCTGTACATAACATAATAAAAATTTAATAATAGTCTTGTAGAGGTAAAAGAATTTAATAACATGCTCCATAAATACGTTGATAAATTTATATAAATTAATATACGATTACTATATAATTTTAATTTTATTTTACGTTTTCCAAGTAACTATTAAAGTAACTGTTAAAAAAATTACAAGTTATTAAAAATAAGTAACTAAGTTAAGTTACAGTTACAGGTGGGGGAAAAGTAACTAAATTAAGTAACTTAATTAAGTTACAGTTACCGAAAAAATGTAACTGTAACTTTGTTATAACCCACATAGCACGTAATATTATATAGTGTCAGTAATATTTCCGTAATGTTGCAATATCGCAGAAATATTACGGAAATATTACTGTGATATTGTGTAATATTGCGTGCTATGTGGGAAGTAACTAGTTACTTCCCAACCTTGTATATATCTTTTATATTTATCCAATAAAGAATCTTCAAAGATCTCTCTATTTCTTTAGGAACCCTTAAGATGTCGCTAGGCACTTGTTAGGCGTTTTTAGGCAGATCGTCCATTATTACAATATCTTTACTACGAGGCGCCACTATTTCCATCGGCATGGGTTAAGTTGTACATTTTTGTGCTGAGAGCATCATTCTATCTTTATTGCTCATTATATGCCAAAGGAAGATAGAATGATGTTTTCAGCACAAAAGATAAACTTAGCTATAAAATTTCTCTCGTTAGATTTAGGATAAAGTATGACGATTCCTGATTGGTCCGCATCTTATCTATTATTTTTAGGAACAAGTGAGTGGAAGTGAAAGAGAAATTCTAATAGAAATGAAAGAGAAGCTGTAAGACCTAGTTGCACATTATTTTGGCTTTAAGGGAACATTACCAATCTTTTGTCAAATTTTAACATAGTTTTCGGAATTTTTTTGTATGTTTAGAAAAAAGACATTTTTTTTGTTTTTATCATTGAAAATACTAAAAATTTTTTTTCACATAATTTTGTTGAAAATTGCGCCTTGTGCGTGTCTTTAAAAGTTGGTCTGCGCGCCGTGCACCTCCTAGTCCCGCCGCCACCTAGTATGCTCTCCTCCTTCTATGGTGGATCCCCCACGGCGCATTGCGTCCAAGCACCCGGGGGCTGCCAAAACACTGCACGGGTGCGTATCTTGTGCACCCCGCGCCTTAACATCCAGCAAAAATAAGAATTTGAAACTATTATCTGTAAAAAAGAAAAGATCTGTAATCTGTAAAAAAGAAAAGATTCTTATGAAGACATAATTAAGTAATGTCTATTAAACGTATCTATTAAACAGAAAATTCAACATCTAATTTTAATTTATTTTGTCAAATATTAAATTTAGACAAATATGGGAGTGCATGATTACCTCTACATTGCGTATGTTCCCGTCGCTTATACGTAATGTCTCTGTGACTTGGAAGGTATCAAAATTTGTTTCTGACTCCGCAAATACGTACATGTCTTTTAACTGTTAACAGAATTCTCTTCCACATGTTTACCACTTCGATATCTTATGCTAATGTATATAAATTTGTTATTATTTGTTATTTGTATATAAATTTGTTATTATTCGTATTTCTCTTAGTGATATTGGCGTCGACAGGAACATTTCACATTTCTATAATAGCTTACTTTTATTTGAGGTAATTTATAATTTAAATATTTATTTTTTTATATATTGATATTACAATTCTTACTTATTTTTGGTTTTTTGGGGGTTTTTTAATCTTTAGAGTTATGATGAACACATCATAATTTTTGGATCAAATTATCTACTGTAAAATCACTGTTCTCTTAACGTTTTTGTCGATTGTAATGTCAAAAAGAACATTGAGATTTGTTTGTTTCGTCCGAGTCACGATACCATCGTTTTGTAATACTTTCTGTACAATCCTTGAGTAATTTTATTTTATTGTAATTATCACTGAAGAGGGTTCACGATTGAGCCGAAACGTTTGATGATTTATATTATATTCAATAAAGGATTTCTCTATTTCCTAACATAAGGAAGGCTTTATCTACATGATATAATAGCACTATTACATCTGTTCTTGAACTCAAATTAGCCCTTTTATATATATTTTTTATTTATATTTTTTAAATTTAATTTTTTTGAGTTCTTTTTCGGTTTTTTAATTTAAGATTTAGTTTTAAAAAGATTCAAGTCAATTGGTTGAACGGTTTCGAAGAAAAATTATCGGTCAAGTGAAAAAATGTGATTTCGAGATAAACGCGTTTAAAGTTTTACAACATGTTTACATGACAAAAAAATGTAACATTTTGGCCACTTACATCTAATCTACGATTCCAGGACCATACAATAGTCCCTCCTCCTCTTCAAACAAATTTTTGTTGTTGCATTTGTTGTGTTCTCCTCTGCCGAGTCGTCTCTTGCAGCTGAAGACACGTGTCGTTCTACGTGCATTATGCGGCGTGAATCAACATTGACTGCAAAATTATTTGTTGTAAGCCAATATTGATGTCCAAAACATTCATGACCTTCAAAATCGATGTGTACCCTTCATTGAAGATACATACAGCCAAGTATGTCGCGATTTCTACTGTCTTGACATCACAATGCAAATGCTTTGGAGCAAAGTTTTCACATACAAACGTTCATACTTTCATACAAATTTTGTGTGTTGCCTCCCAAGCACCACAAGCAACAAATTTTCGTCTGAAAGTGCTTCATATGTTAATCGGATAACTGCCTGAACATTGTCTGCCAATGGTGGATCATGTTTAAAATTACGCAATTCGCCAGCAATTCGCCTCTGCGACCCGTCACTTACACCAGCATAAAGAATTTTTAGTTCATAAAACCGCTTTAAGGGAATAATCTATATATCTAAAGAATGCGAAAAATACAAAAAAAATCGAAAATCTCAACCCAAAGATTAGTAATGTCCTCTTAAGCGAAACTTAAATATATATCTCTCTTTATTTTTATTTTTAAATAAATAAAGACAAATATATTTTAGTTTTACTTAAAATCAAAATAACGTTGGCAATCGGTTTTAAGACTGAAATAATAAAGCATGCTATAGTTTCCCTCTCACACACTCACTTGGGTTAAATCTGCCAATCTCTTTGAGTTAACAATTAAATCATGTGTCTCTTTGTTTTCAAATTAGATAAAGACAGACATATGATTTTTAAGTTTTGGTCTAATCGTCATGTGTATACACTGAAATATATACTACCTGGAACGCGCGCTGCCTTTTGAGGCGTGCGGGATGAGAGAGAGGTTTCCTCTCTTATTCTTGTCTGGTTCATAGTATAGTCGAAAGTGGGGAGAATGAGATACAATCCAAGTTAAAAGTTAGAGATAATATGAAAAGCAGTGACCACACACATACACACACACACACACACACACACTGAATGGCAATGACTTAAGCTTATGAACGAAAGTTTAAATTATAAAAAAATATATATATTTTTTCTTATTTATTAGTATTCACTTATCGACTTATTATTAAGAAAAACAAAGCAAAGATGGTTCCTAATTCAGTTTATGTTTAGAAATCAGCCGACTTAGCTTTTGGTTCAGATTGTATTAGACAAAGACAGAACGCTGTTCGAGACCTATAAGCATGCTCTCTCTCATCCCGCAACACTCAAGAGGTTGCCCGTTCCAGATAGTATACATTTCAGTGTGTGTGACGTATAAGAACGTGTTCGAGCTTGTCGGATGTGACTTGTGATTTTTTTTAGATATATTTTGGATTATTTCTAAAAGGCAAATATCTAAAAAAATACATTTAATTTAACCGTTAGCTTACCAAAACATTGGAAAAATTGGCTCTGATTAACTTCCTCTCTATCAATGGCGGATGTCCTAATTTTGACTCGAGAAACTCTACATCGGCAAATTGAAGTTATAATACGATTCAAACTAATCTGCCTTATTTTCAAGTACAACTATTCAAATTGGAAAAGTTTGCTATTATTAGTTAGCACGATTTTAAGGCGCTTGTTTTATTCTTTCTCAGCTCAGTAAGTGTTAAATAACCATTAAATATTAATAACCTAGTAAATAATGAATAACAGCAATATGAATATATATGTTATATGTTCATACATTGCATTATCAATGCAATGTTGTTATCATTAATTTTTATATCAATAAAATATAATTTTCCTACTTAGCAATTTAACTATTATATATAAGGTAGATTGCATTGTATTTACATTGTTGAATGAAAAATTCTAACATTAATGTAATGTTATTATTGCTTGGGATGTTTACTAACTATTAATTTATCAAATATACTCCACAAACATCAAATAACATTATATGAATATCATAATTTCCCACTCAACAATATAAGTACAACATGTTGTACACAAACCAGTTAACAACGAATACTAATTATATTATGTTTGTTATACAGTATAAGTGCAATATAACACATGGTGTTATATTGCACTTGCATTGTTAAATATAAAATTATAACATAGACATTACATAATTGATATTTGGTTGATTGGGCAATTACATTATTAATTGGGAAATTATAATATTAATGTAACGTTACTATCGCTCAATGTTCACTGGATATGAAGTATTTGTAGAGACTAAAAATTTAACTATTATTTTCAATTTTTTCTTTCAATTCATGATTGTTATTAAATTAAGGCTCTTGTGTTCTCTAAATGTACCCATTTTGATTAATGATGTCGGAAGTGAAAAAACATATAACATATGTAACATATATACATATAACACATAAAATTCTCTTTGGAAGTCAAAATTGAACGTTATGTCTACATAAAAAAGATACTTGTAATTAACTGAGCACATTTGTAAAATATCTCAAAAACTATCGTTTTACTCTAACCACCAATAGCCGTGAAATTAACGTGACCAAATTGCTAGAAACAGTAGACTAAAAAGAAAGGTTGCATGTTATGTTATTTTGACGGTTATCGATTATTAGAGCAAAAGCAAAGTTTATAGAATATTTAGCAAATGTAAAATGTGTTAAATTTAATTTTTAACAATGCATGTTATATTATTTTGATGGTTATCGATCGTTAAAACAAGAGCGAAGTTTATAATATTTAACAAATATGAAATGTGTTTAATTTTTAACAATATAGAGTCTATAATGCGGTCGTAATTACGTTTTAAAGTTGTAATACTAGTCTGTGAATCGATCATGTATTTATTTTATGTAAATTCGTAAAAAGTGAAAAGTTTCATCGATTCATAGATTAGTGCTACGACTTTAAAACGTAACTACGGCCGCATTATAGATGATTCCTTACATGTCGTCGCGCAGACATAATGCATAATGCAATAGCTGAAACACGATAATATCGCCGTTAAAAATTACAGAATAAGTACACAAGAATCTTAACTTGTCCATGTACCATGCAATTTCGCTCAAAGTCAACCAGCTTGTCTCCCACGAGATCGGAATGAGTATCATTTGGCAGTGTAATAATTCGCCTTCACAAAGGGCATCTTGGTCACGGTGGCCTTATAGGTTTTCCCCCGCACCTCGATCAGTACGCCGCCTCCAAATTGCGCTAAATCCGACGGTATGTATCCCATGGCAATCGGCCGACCCAAGGTCGGACTTGGTCCGCCGGAAGTCACTTTGCCCACACGTTCACCTTCCGGCGTCAATACAGGCGCACCTTGTCTGGCAGGTGGTCCTTGACCCAGTAAGAGTCCGACTCGTTTCTCCATGGCGCCCGTCTTGATCTGCGACAGTATCCGCTGCGCACCTGGGAAGTTGGCCTCGACCCTTCGTCGTTTTGCTGCGGAAGACCGACGATGTTTTGTAAGTTGTCACAAGCAATATCAGCAAAGAATATCGGAATAATATTCGTCTCGCGTGAAGAAAATTCGAACGAGCGAGCGCGAATTACAACAACCTCCGTTTCAAAACAGTCGTACGATAAGTGACGCTTATCACGCTCCGAGATTTCTTAAAGTATTCCGCGAGGTCACTAACCTATTAACCACGTGAGGGCAGCTTCGACCGGCGTGATGTTTTCATTTATGTCGTTACCGTATAAGCAGAGTCCAGCTTCGAGCCTGAGGAAATTGATCAGATCATCAGCAGAATTCCTGCTGCGAAATATATTCACTTACCTTAATGTGTCTCTCGCCCCTAGACCGGCTAGTTTCACGTCGGGAACTTCCAGGATTCTCTCTACCAGATCAACAGCGTCTTTTGCAGGTACCGAGATCTCGAAACCGTCCTCGCCGGTGTATCCACATCGTGAGATTCTGACCTGGCTATCTGCCACCTTGGTCTTTACACTGTTCATGAATTTCAGAGTCTGGAGGTCGATTTTTACCAAGGATTGCAGGACGGCGGCTGCTGTGGGGCCTTGAAGAGCTATTAGGCCTTGCTGCAGAGGATCCAGGAAGTCGACGTATACGTTTTTGTCAGTCCTCTTGAAGTCTTCCTGTAAGCAGGACGTTTGTTGCATTCACTGCACTGTTGAAACATTTGTTTAAAACATGTTTCACAGCTCGAAATATGCACTATCTCACTTGACGCTCTAACAGAAGCCGACTGTCCTCGTCCCGTCTTCCTGCATTCGATACAACAAAGTATTTGTCTTCGTCGTCTTTGGTGATGATTAAATCGTCAAGAATTCCCCCTTCGTCGTTAGTGAAGACCGTCAAAGTCGCGGCACCGTTCTTCATATTCTTCAAATCACATGTGGTTAACGATTCTAGGTACTCTCCGGCATCTTTGCCGGTGACACGCGTCTGCATCATGTGCCCGACGTCGAAGAGCGACGCGAACGACCTGGTGTGCTGATGGGATGCGGCGATCGCATCCTGATATTGTATCGGCAACAGCCATCCAGCGAAATTGACAATTTTTCCTAAACGTTCGCGGAATTGGCAAAATTAGATAAATGTCTCCTATTCTTTCTTCGCTTTGTTTCTTACTCCAATATTTCTTATTAAAATATTGTCTCGTAAAGGTTAAGGAATTTTGCCCAAATGAGCCTGCAATATCGTTTCGCTGCGAGGATTCTTTCCCACATTGTCTCCAACCAGTTAGACTTTTATGTAACTCATGATGTTGACAGGCGAGGAGTCACGCGTTTGTATTAGCTTGTCTCGTGGAATATCGACAGCATTAAAGCTTTCAAAAATAGACGATGACGCAGATGTTTGTTTACAAAAGATCAACACACAGACAAGACATCGGCATTGACAAGGTAACGTATATAGAACGTGAGAATCCTGCATGCAATTCGATATTCCATTCTACTCACAGGATAAAATTCACTCGAGTCCCGCAATAGTTTCACCGCGTTTATTAATAGATGCGAAATATATGATACATGCTTCTCATTTCAGATGTTCTAATTTAATACCAATAATTTAACCAGAATTAAACAATTACTTGCCTTCCTTTTTCACATGAAAATCGTATAAGCAGGTTTTCCGGATCTCGCTGATGCTCGTCGCAGACGACAATCGGCGACTTTGTGTCTGGATCGCGTTGGCGGCTGCACGAGGTGTCACGGAATCGATCAAACAACTCGAATATGTCGAACCATGTCTCTGCCTGACCTTTGACCTCATGGCGACGCCGCAGGTGTCGCGAACACCTCCCATTGTGTCCAAACATTTTTCGAGGTTGCCGTAAATGACGAATTTTCCACTAACGCCGAAACGGAGCATGATACTTCTCTCTTGGTATCCTATCGTTGACTAACTCGACGTGGTTCGACAGCGAGCGCCTGCAGACCGCCCGATGACCCCGCGAGAATGTTTATCTTCCCTCAGACTCGGATTTAGTGACGAGAAAATCGAGCTCAAAAAAACTTCAGTAAACCACGTAACCGGCTGTAATATTGTTCCACTCGAAAAAATTTAGTAAGTCTAATATTCACTCGGAGAATACATACACAGTTTGTCGTCCTGTCAAATGAAATAAACAAATAATAACATACGTTGAAATGTGCGATTGTACTGTACTCGTGATAGTATAGTGTTAGTATAATGTTTTTGGACACATCGTGCATCAACACAATCACGAGCATCCTAAAGTTCTACGTGTGCTGTTAAACTGGAGGTCGCCGTGACCGCTGGCGCGCGTCGCGTGTTTCGGCTCGTTATTGAGAGCGCTAGCGATCACAATAGTTTTTGTCGCGGGCTAGATAACACGTGCGACGACGTCGTGCGTGCTTCGTCATTTTCGACTTTCTTCAATTTATGAAAGTTAATTTGTAGAGTGAATTCATTCTCGTCACGATTATCGAGTGTTTGTGTGTGTGTGCAGAGTTCTGATTTAACGACTGCATCGTGAAGATGTGATTCCCGAGGATACTGATGCCGTACCGAAGGAGTCAGGCTGAACAGAGTCGGGCTTGAAGGTGAATTCACAGATTCCTTATATTTCTCTTTTCAACTATTGTCGGAAATACCGTGTACAGCCGTAAGAATAACTTTGATTACAATTATAAAGAGTTGATTCATTCGTATCTTTCTACATGCATTTGTTTGATGATATAAATTTAATTTAATTGAATAAATTATTGATAAATAATGGATATTATGAATAAATTATGAATGAAAAAATGGATAAGTAATGGTTAATTTAATTGGATTGGATATAATTTAATTGAAAAACTTATCTTTTGTTTTCAGCCAGTAAAACTTGGCTGATTCTAAGTTGCAGAATATTTAGTGAGTAAGAAAATATGAGTGTGACAAATATTTACTGATGACTCTATTTCAAAGTATTTTATTGAAATATAAGAATGACGTTTTTTTCTTTATTTTTGAAAATCGTTCAAATGACGTGGTTGCAACTTTACGTTGCAATTACGCGCAAGTATCTACATAATTTTCTTTCGTTTCGCGACAGTCAACGGACAGTAACATGTAAAATAATGTGCGATCGTTGTTGATTAGTACTTAGAATTGTGATTAGTCGTGTTTTTTTCATCGATTAATAATCGTGTAATTAGTGAAGTAACGAGCAAATCCATGATAAAGCGAATAGACGAGCAAGCGTAATGAAAAGTGACGGGCAGCAACTGACGAAAGGACAGCAGGTATCAGTGACAAATCTCAGTATTATTTTCTATTTTCGATATTATTTTCAATCTTTCGAATGATCGCATTATTATAAACTCTATATAGTCAAAAACCCGGAAAGTAACTTATAAGCTATATTTCGATCAACGATCGTAACCAATGGAAATTGAGACTATGTTCGTTACGGATACTAAATTGATTTACGCCGTGACGATGTCATTCTAACGTAGTTCCTTCTTTTTCGCGATATGAAACGGACGAGAGACGGTAGGCGATCGCCGTGTATTTCGTCAATCAGTGCTCGGAATCGCGACTAATCGTGTTTTCTCGATCAATTAGTACTCACGTAAGGTAACGAGTACGTGTCCGGTAAAGTGGATAATAGAAGAGCAAACGTAACGACAAGTGACTCGATGCGACGATCGATGAACAGATGACGAGTATCAACGACAAATCGGTCAGTGAAATAGATATTTATCCTCTGATTTCTATCTCAGTCTTTCGAAATATCGCATTATTATAAGCTTCGTGTGGTCAAAAGCCCGGAACGTGGCATAGAGGTTATGTTTCGATCGACGATCAAAACGGGTCGAGATTCCTTCTTTCCTTCCTTCCTTCAATATTTGGCTACAAGCCTCTCTAAGAGTAATGCCCCAACGCCAGTTTCCGATTAATGATATAATTCGAGAGCAAAGTCTTGGAAATTTTCAAGACACGATCCAAAAAAAATCACAAGGTCCGAACTTGTTTGAACACGTCTTGTCGTGACGGCGATTAGGCCGGGACATCGGGTCGAGATTGTAGTTGGATAGTAGATCGAGTAGGCAGCACGACATATTCAAACGACGCGAGGACAACATCGCGCTGTGATCGCTTTATTCTGGCGAAGTTCCTTCATTGTCACGACATGACGAAATGGACGCCGTACAAAATGACGTGCGATCGTCGTGTATCTCGTTGATCAAAATCGTGATTAGTCGTGTTTTCCAATTAATTAATATTCGCGCAATTAGTGAGTACCCGACAAAGTGAATAACAGACAGGCAAGTGCAACGACAAGTGACGGAGAACCGACAGGTATCAGTGCGCGATTTCGCTTTATTTAATTCGGCTACGCCAACTTATTCCCGAGCAAGGTCCGTGGATTGTAGCAGTGTAACAGTGCGAAGGTAAGGTCTTCCTATGACTGTCTCTCTATGGCTACGTTCCGAAATTCACTGCCAGTACTGAAAATTTATAGTTCATGTCACGTATACTATAGAATTTCAGTACTGGCAGTGAATTTCGGAACGTAGCCTATATATGGCTTAAAAATGGCGGATTTGACTGTCAATTTCAAGTGTTCAAATTTCAGCGCAATTATTTCAAACAAATTTTGTACCCTGGATACTCCCTGGACAGACAAAAAAGTAATATGCGTTTTATATATGTGTCGGGAAATACTTGAATATACAAGGTGTCCCGCGTAAAACGTACGAAAAGAAAAATATAAGTAGAACACATAAAAGTGAACAAAAATTGTATCGGTCATTTTTCAAACAACCATGTAAAATTTCCAGATATTAATTAAAATAGTTGGGCATATTAGAGCGCGGCGACACGGCAGACGGGACATACAGCTCGTCGCAGCTGGCGAAAAAAATGGACGATTGTTCGCGGGCCTATTTTACAGGCTAGAGAAGTGGACCGTTTGACATACTGAAATGAGTAGCTCCGTGTGCGTTCTTCCATTTTCTTTGCCGGCCGCGTCGCCGCGCTCTGAATGCCCAACTATTTTAATTAATATCTCGAAATTTTACGTGGTTGTTTAAAAAATGACCTATACAATTTTTGTTCACTTTTATGTGTTCTACTTATATTTTTCTTTTCGTACGTCTTATGCGGGACACCCTGTACATACACATACACAAATGCATGGTTAAAAAATGACCGCTAATAAGAAGATCTTCCCTTCACACTGTTACCAATCCACGGACCTTGATTCCCGAGCCGTTTAAAGTCGCGATATCAACATCAGATTCCGATACAAAATTCGCGATCGTCGATCGAAACATAATAAATATTACTTCTCGCGGTTTTCACTACCGCTTATAATAATGCGAGATTTGCTAGCACGATACCGGCACTTGCTTTCACGTCGCGATATCAATATCAGATTCCGATACAAAATTCGCGACCGTCGATCGAAACATAATAAATATGCCACTTCTCGCGGTTTTCACTACCGCTTATAATAATGCGAGATTTGCTAGCACGATACCGGCACTTGCTTTCACGTCGCGATATCAATATCAGATTCCGATACAAAATTCGCGACCGTCGATCGAAACATAATAAATATGCCACTTCTCGCGGTTTTCACTACCGCTTATAATAATGCGAGATTTGCTAGCACGATACCGGCACTTGCTTTCACGTCGCGAT